CAGCATTCCCTCTTCTGTTTTATCAGCCTCAGCATTTCCTAGAGAGAAGGCAGCCACCAAGAACCCCAGTGGCACAGCACTACAGTCTGCTGATTCGATCTCACTTCAAGAAAATATTACAGATGTGGGTGCACCAGGGGATCATGGCCTTCCCATGGATAATTCCGTCCCTGTAGGCAGGGAACAGGATCTCATGTCACCAGAAAAACTGCAATCAAAGGGAGTGTCTTTCAAGTCCCTAAGTAAGGGCCCTGTGGATCCCAGTGGAGAAAGCAGCAGTTTGGGATCCTGTGTTCCCTTTCCCATGAAGGGATCAGATCCCTGGAAGGGTTGTTCGTATGCCCCTAGTACTCAGAGAAACCAAGTGGAAGAGGATTCATCTCGGCATGAAGAGTCAGCTYTGGGCTTGGCTGGGGCAAACCTCATTCCAGCTGCTAACAAGGAATCCAAGACAAATGAGGAGCTCTCAGCTGAAGGGGAGGCACCTCCAAAAGACTTTCAAGTAAACTCTGAACAAACTGAGCAACCTTTGGTCAGTGACAGTTCAAGGGATCAGGCAGATCCCTCTCTTCCACCACCAATTTCGCGYATTTTGGGTATTTGTTCAAAACTGAAAGATCTAACAAACAAATCTCTTTCCGTTTCCAAAGCYGCTTCTGACCAGCTGCCCAGTTCCTCAGCTCAGCCAGAGGAAGCCCTGAATTTGGGAAAAAATACTGTCAGTGAAGSAAATAACTTCTTTGATACCAAACAGCAGGAGAACAAACGTCTGGAATCTGGACCTGCTCCCATAGGAATGGCACCTAAGGATAAATATCCAGGAATAAATATCCCTCTGGGTATATTCAAGCCTAAATTACCAAACAAGAGAAATCCTGTTTCCATTGTACAGGACACAAATACAAAATCAGACAGAGCAGAAGCCCCAGTTCCAGCAAACACCAGTGAAACCCCAGGTAACAAGTCCAGTAGGCAGAACTTCAGCCCTTCTGAGTTCCTWGCAGAAGAATTTTTCCCTGTGTGCCTGGAGGACACAGATTCCAACGACTCTCTCATCTCTGAACTTGTGGAAAATGCTTGGGATGATAAAAACAAAAAACAAATCCCCCACTCTGAAAAGGCATTTGAASAGGCAAAATCTCACAACACAAAAAGGGCTTTTGAACAAAATGAGGAGGATCTTCAAAGCCCAAAGAAGGCCAAGAGGGATGAACATGTGGATGCTGGCACCTGTCAAGACTTGGAGGTGAGCCTGGTCCCTCCCTGTAAGGATATAGGGAACACCACCAGGGCTTTCAATTTTGGGGGTGTAAGTTGATCTATTAGTACGTTTCCTTGTTTTTCATAACCACCAGTTTGCTGTCGTTTTCCTGTGTCGTTCCCTGTGGTTTTCATAGTTTAGCCAAGTTAGAAGAATCAGGTTGATGTGCACAACATTCTCGTGCCAGACAGAATCAGGGATTTGCCAATTTTAAACTATTCTCTGCGTGGTATCCCTTTAATCCTTTCAAGGGACAGCTACAATAAACTGCTGGTCCACTRAATTTTTTCATATCATTTTTTATTTGTTGATATCAGGTGACTTTTGATGTTGTGCCTCAGGACCAAGCAGGAGTTGGTGAAGGTGTAGAATCTCCAAATCTCTCTGCCAAAAGCCCTGAGTGTCCTCACGCCAGCACCAGCAGCTCCCTGGATTCTGTGAAGGCTGACACAGAGTTAACATGTGAGAAGCCATTTGTGACAAGAGTCCCAAACTTTGTGTTCTTTGCCCTATAAGAGTATAATTAACCCCACTAATACCCCTCCCTTTCTGTTTTGTTTTCCCAGTGCAGCGCAGCACTCAGTTGGAGTCCCAGCTTCTCATGGACAGCATTTGTGAAGAAAATTTATGGGAGGTATGGATAGGGCTGGAAAACAGCAACATCTTGTCCTAACAGGAAAAAACTCCTGTGTGTATGCACCAGTGAGTGTTCTGTCTTGAAAAATGGACTTACCTGMATGTTTTTCCTCAAATGTACAGAAATTTCAGAGTGGTACTATCACGGTTGGGGAGTTTTTTACCCTTCTTCAAGTCCATATTGTGATTCAGAAGCCCCGGCACAGCCAGCTTCCAGCCAGTGTGAGTGGAACAATATCATTGACCTTAAATAATACCCCTGTTTTGTTTTGGGTTTCAATTCTTAGCAACTCAAACATCTTCAAATGAAAACCAGAATAGATTTCCATCTCCTCACCGAATACCATATATATTACTGTTCTTGGATAAATACGCTAATTCTTTTTTTAACTAGTTTTAAGGACAATCAAATTGAAAGTAAGAATGAAAAGCTCAGTCTGATCTTTCCACTTGATCTTCTCACCATGTCCATTAGCCACTACTGCCTGCAGCTACTCTGCACTCCTCCTGCCTGTTCTACTCTCTCCTTTAGAAATGCTTCACCCTGACATTGCTACTCTTTATTTCCTCACCTGAAGAAYAGGGAAGAAATAAAGAACAGATGTCTGTCTTCTAAATCTCTTCCATCTTTATTTAAAATACTCTCCCAGCTTAGCTACCGTTTAATTTACAAATTTATATTCATACTGAGTTGTCTCTAAATATTCAGCAGGCTTAATAACGCTGCTACTGTGTACCAGTGGCTGATAAAAAACAGACACCACCCCCACAAAAGCCCCTGAAAACTTTCTCTGAATGAGTGGAAGTAATTAATGTCAGTTGTTTATGAGCTTTACTATACAAGCAGCTTGCTGAAATACCCTCCTCATATTTATTTGAGGATTAAAGCTCAATAAGGCTTCCCTTCTGAATTAAGCATAACTTTGAATTAATCACTGTTTTATTGGGGAGCACTGTTGTTACCTGCATTCAAGACTACGCTCAAGTCTTTATCCAAAAGGGAGTTAACCTCTTTCAGTCATACTTAATTTCATTTTTTTGAACTCTAATGATGAGGCACATATCCCAAAAGGAAGCCTGTGCTCCGGTGTGAGGAAACACATGGCATGAAAGCAGAATTGAACTGATTGGAAGTAACTATTTCTGAAAAATACCCTTTTGTTTTTCTTACTACTTTTCCCTGTGTTTTTTCCCAGTGTGAAGCCAGTGCACCTCCCACTGCAGAAGATCTCATCTACAGCCAGTACATTCACCGGCCCAAGCTGCAGATTTACGAGGAGGATTGCCAGGACTTGTCTCAGAAAACAGTGGAGTGAGTGGTTTTCCAGTCACATAATTTATCATTAATTCMATTTTTTCATGGAAATAGCCTGAAGAAAGTTAATACAATACATATAGGAAAAGTAAAAATATAGTAGTAGTTTATACAGATTTAGAAATTAATTTTATAAATACCAATATGCTGCTTTATGTGGTCAGTGCAATTGCAGCAAGACTTTCAATATTTTTTTTTCCATATTTCAGTTTAAAACCCCATGTAAGTACCCTGGATCAGCCACTGGTGCACGTGAACAGGAGTTTGTGGGAAGTAATGAGAACCTGCACTGATGAAGAGGTAATGCTGCACAGAGAGAATGTTCATGTATAATGAAGAAGCTAAGTTAATTTATTTATTTACATTAAATAAGAACCAGAATGGTCACAAAATAACAGCAGGTGAAACAAGGCAAAATATTTTCTGAATGGAAAACTGCTGAGAATTTCCAGCATGTCAGGAGAATGCAAGTAAATGTGTGCTTTGAAATATATTAAAAGGGGAAAAAATGACCCACAGTCATTGCATGTAAAACCCAGAATATTTATAAAAGTATCCCACAAGGACTGAGAAGGTGGATCAAGATATTTTGTTTTCTGTGGTTCCAATGCCAAGAATAAAGATCTATTCCTTGAAAATAGGGTCAAATATGATCAAAGACAGTGTTTTTTGTAGTTCATCATTAGTTTGGCATAGGATATCACTGAGGTTAGGCGGTGAACTAGAGTCAGGAAAGATTATATTTCCATTCACTTTCTCTTCTCTACTTCCCGTTCATCACAGCTGAGGAACTTTGGAGCAGAACTGAAGAAGATGAAATCCTGTTTCACCAAGGAGGCTAAAATCTTGTCTCACAATGAGAAGGAGATACTGTATAGGAAACTACTGCAGTGTGCTGAGGTAAGAAGCTGCAGGGATTGGCCTGTAAAAACTCACCTCTACCAYATTTCTTGTTTTTACATGTGTGGGACCTTAATTATTGTAAGTGTGCACTCTCATGGAAGTTTCTTTATTATAAATGCATTTCCCTTTTTATATGCAAATATAGCACTGGGACAATGACTTCCTTGCAGTCACGCAGTTGGAACCTTGTGCTTTAGAGTTTTGGTGATTAACAGAGTGAAAAATGGGAGTATTAAAGGAAACGCCACCAAAAATTTGCTCTTTATATTGTAGCAATGTCAGAATTACTAAGTAGGTAAGTAGTAGTAGCAAGTATTTAGGAGGAAATTCTTCTCTGTGATGRTGGCRCTGCCCCTGGATCCCTGGMAGTGTCCAAGGCCAGGCTGGACAGGGCTTGGAGCAAGCTGGGATAGTGGAAGGTGTCCCTGCCATGGCAGGAGATTGGAATTGGATGACCTTTTAAACCCTTTTCTAACCCATTCAGGAATTCTCTGAYAAGTAACAAGGAAGTGCACAATTAATACATTGTGACAGGAATCAAAGATTTGGATATATTAAAGCTCTAGGGATTTATTTATGTCCATATCTTATCCCTCATTAGGAAGATTCAGTAAGCATTTAGTAATTCCTTATTATTGGCTACTGCCCCAYCATTTGTCAGTTGCTTCTTTCCTCTAAGGACAGATTTTATCAGCTTCTTTAATTAATTAACAAGCAAAGAGTCCCATGGCAGTTCCAGAAGAAAATTCAGCTTTTAAAGTARTGTCACTGGCTCAAGTACAATTCTYCCATCTTAGGAACAATGCAGAAAGCTCCAGTCAAGAATAGAAAAGGTGAATGACTGGATGAAGGAGGCTGACAGCTCCATGGTTACTCTGGAATCAGGTATGTGTTTCCAAACAGGTGACCAATATGCTGCTTTCTCTTTCTTTACGCAGAGCTGCTATTGGAAAGGACATTTCAGGGTTCTGTGTTTGTGGTTGYTTGGCACAAGCTGCAGTCAGAGCTTGGCATTACTGTGTAATGATGCTCTGTAGTTTCAATYCTTTTCTTCCGATGCCTTAAGCAGAAATCAAATTGCACAGTAGCAGCTCTAAAACAGTGCAATAAAATGAGATTTTCCTTGTAATTATCACTCTATGAGGTTTTTGGTAGATGCTTTTCCATACCTTTGTATAATTTTTTTAGTTAACTTTGAAGTGCTGAGATTTCTAGACCCCACAGACAAACCAAATTAACTCTKAAGTATTGAATCTGGGATTCTGCACAGACCTAACACTTCCTTCCCACAGATTCTTGGCATGAAGAAGAAGCCAGCTGCGGTGCTGGAAAGGCAGGAGGGCAGAATGTACAGCAAGGTAACGGAATGCCCAGCTGAATGCCCTCTTTGTCTGCTGTTCTAGATCCTGCTGAGRGTGATACTCAACCCCAATCCCAACATATTAACTCTGAGAGGCACGCAGACACTGCTGCTGTCTTTCCTGCATTGCACATAGTTAATTACATAGCAGTTAAAGAGTGAGAAGGACCTTTTTTTTTTCCCCTGAAGAAAGGGAATTTAGAACTTGTTGCCTGAGGAGTGTATGCTGGCTGTCATATTCAGTACTTCAGTTGTCCAATAATTATAACTTTAACTCTATAAGAACAGTGACTGCACAGCAAATTAGGGCTTCCTGTGCTGCTCTTTTTTCTCATTTTTTTCCTTTTCTTTCCTTTTTTCCCTTTGTTTTAGAAATGGGAAGCGTCACAGTGCAAGAAGAGGAACTTCTGAGGTAAGATGTCAAAGAGTATTTAAGAATCAGGTGTACACTCGGTTTTTAGAGGGTTGGTCTGTTTTTAACCAYTGTACCACATCCCATGGGATTGGYTTATCYTTGCAGAGAACTGTCAGAGATGGAYGCTGAGGAGGASCGTGATTTGGCTGAGATGGAGGAGCACAGGAAGACTATAAAGGCCTGCCTGGATATCCTGAACAAATATGAGTAAGAAAAACACCTCCAGGTTTTATTKTTGTTTATAGCTATTTCTGGGGCCTTGTATTTGTACATGAATSTGTTTAGGTTTGGTTTTCCTTGTTATTTGATGTGGGAAACTTTGGGATGCCCACCTCCTTGCAGCCTAAGTTAGGCAATAAAGCCTTGGAGAACTTCCACRTGTGAGGCAGTTATTCCATCAACAGCTTTGCAGTGGTACTCTGTGTTCAGGGTTTCTACATCAACTCTCCTTCAAACCCCAAATCAGAATTTATATAAAATTTATAGTAATATGCTTGTATTCCCAACAGAGTCTTACATTCTGTTGGAATGAAAGACTCTCTTTGGCATTGGAAGATTTAATTGGTGTATGATGTGGCTGAATGCATTAAGGCATTTAATACTCTGATKTTTACCCCTCAGGAAGTTGTTTGGGTTGGTTGGTTGGTTGAAACTTGGGATTAAAGTGGGTTTTTTTCCCCTTTTCAGCTTCACTGAGTGGGAGTTGGTCGATTGGAGTGAGCAGCAAGCTGTCTTTAATTTTCTTTATGATTCTGTGATGCTCACAGTTGTGTTTGGACCCCCAATAGGTGAGTCACAAAATGGGTAGGTTGAAATGTTAGAAAAAAGAAACATAAAATGTCCATATTTGTAAAGATCTGCTGGAAGGAAAAAGGAAATACAAAATATACTACAGTGTGTAAGCTGAGAGAGGTGGCTTTGAATATGTTTTTCATATGAAAATTCAGAAGTGTGTATAATGCATGCCTGTTTCTGAAGATGAAGAGCTGTAAGTCCAGAATTAAGCATGGAAATAACTGGCATTCTGAACATTCTCTCTCAGATGGTGAGCTTTTCGCTTCACGTCCTTCCAGACACATCATTAGCCTGGACTTTGAATCCTGCCTGGATGGTGAGATTTTTTTGAATAGTGTGAAAGTAGCAGCCCTGCTAACCTGTTKTTGGGAAGATTCTAAATGTATGCTTTATCTTCTAATGCTTTATGAAATGGCTTTTCAATGATTTCTGGTTTTATTTTGTGTTGCAGAGGAACAAGCTCCACCCTCCTCGTGTTTAGTCCTAAGRCTCATCTTCCAGTTCATTGAAAGTCGGGGAAACTGGCAGGAAAAGTGTCCCACAGTGTGCTACTTGTCCCGGGTAACCATCCAGGGAAACTTAGAAGACTCTGACACAAACCCARTTATTATTTTCTGCCACAGAGAAAATAGAACTGAGAACCAAAGCGCCTTAATGAAAGCTTCACAAATGCAAACCAAAATCTGCTTCAGGAATATTCTGAGGTGTGAGGGGAAATACCCATCTCTGAAGGCAGGAGTCCTAAAAGCTGGAGTTTATTTTAAAAAACTTTTTTTTTTTTATTGTGAAAAGAATAAAGAATTGAGCTAAAGGCCATTCTGCCTCCTAAAGAATGTAGGTTTAAATTGCCAAGCCAAACGTTTGTGTTCCTGTGTACCTGTGAGCCTGTTGGCAAAGCTGAAGGGGCAAATTTAAGGCCAAAAATGTACATTTGTTATACTTGTACAACTTCATTTTTCCATCCAAACTGAGGTAGCAGTTAAATCACCTGTATTTTTTTATACTTTCTACGATGAGCTGTGTATTCAAGCACCACGTGGTTGCTCCCTGAATGCTGATGTTGCTTTTCTGATTGTCCCCCCCAGGCTCTGTTTGACATCTCCTTGGTGGTGAATCGCTGCAGAATCTTGGGAGACGAGTTGGAATTTCTGAAGAGGTGGGGTGCAAAATTCCAYCTCCTGGAGACAGATATCAAAGACACAGAGTGAGTCAATTCAKATGATCATGGTGAGATTGTTGGGGTGTCCTGTGCAGGGCCAGGAGCTGGACTTTGATGATCCTTGTGGGTCCTTTCTGACCCGGGGTGTTTTGTGATTCTGTAAGATGGAGTTCACAACAGCCTTAAGAGGGAGTTTCTAAATAATCAGAAGCAAAGCACTGAAATCGTTTCAGTTTGGTTTTCTTAAAAGTGACATTTTATGCAGCTAATTTTAAGAATGATTTCCTTTATTTTCATGCAATTGCATTGTAGTGCATGGAAATTAGGCTGTTCATGGATTCAACCACTATCTGACTATCAGACTGCTTSTCYTTCTTTGCTGTTTTACTGCTTGACYTGCCTTTCTTAAATATTTARGCCAAATTTTRGCAATACAAAGGAAACAGAGCCAAGAGTTTACCTGCAGCTTAGGGCTTTGCTTCCTTTAATCTTCTATTTGCCTCAGTCAAGCAGGATCAGTCATGGAAGGAGGGATGCTGTTCTGAAGTTTACTGAAACTGAAGTTTACTATCTTTACTTGCCATTTTCCCTGGCTGCTTCCCAATTTTGTCGTATTCCTGAAGTTCCTCTGGGTCCGTGCTGGAACTCTTTAGAAGTTATTGAGCTTATTGTATCAGTGACAGGACTTTTTCCTGCTCCTGGCACTAATTCCACAGCAGGGGCAGCCAATTTTGCATGGATCTTTGTGTTTATTTCCACAGGGTGAAGCTCGTGTTCTCCTCTACCGCGGCTTTTGCGAAGTTTGACTTGACTCTGGCTCTCTCTCATGATTACCCATCTGCTGTACTTCCCTTCAGTGTCCACACCCGCATTGGGAATATCGGGTGAGCTGACAAAGCACCACTCCACTGGTGCTCCATTCCAAAGTGGCTCCATTCCAAAGCAGGGATGGGGAATTGAATGCTCTGGAGCTTCTCCAACACATGTGATCATTTTATCTTCCCCAGGGAGAAGGAAATTGCTCCTGTTCTCTCCAGTGTTCCAGTTGGTCACCACTATCTGCGGAGAATAGTTGCCTCGATCAATCACAGTCTGCTCCTGGGTCCCAAATGATCCACTGGATCCACGGGCAGGACTGAAGCATCAGAAWGTGAATTTAGTCTTCTGAGAATTCCAGCTGTGTCTCCCTGGAATGGGAATGCTGTTACCYACTCAGCTCTAGAATTCCTGCCTATTTAATACTGTGGCTTAGACCAAGTAGAACACTTGGTGTAGGACACATGTTTTACAAAAGCAGGGATGTCTAAAGCATAGGAGGAAGGAATTCCCATGTATTTTATAAATTCAAGTTGCCTTTTATGTTCTGTCAGTCACTGGTGGTCATTTCTGGCACAAAGGGTCATGATTCAATAATCATTCAAAGCATGAATATTCTTCTCCATAGGCCATAAATTTTGTCCTGGGGTCATTTGCAGAGCTCTTGGACAAAGCAGTGATGAGTGTTCTCTAAATCATTACCCCTGGAATTTACTTCCACTGTCATTATTTCATGTATGCCATGCACAATTAAACAGATCCCATCTTGTCCGGTGTAAATCCGATTTTATTCCCTGGGACCCCTCTCAGGCCAAACACTATATCCTTGCATCTGATTAATTAAGCAGTTAACCTGTAGCAATTAATCAGGTCGCCAAAGTCAGAAATATTTTTGGAATTAAGACTAAAAATCCMTGTGCTTGCCCACAGACTTTGGGATGCAACAGCCTCAAAGCCGTCACCGTGATTCTCTSGTTGAAGTTAGTTCTGACATTCATTAGTCCAGCACTATCTCTTAGTCTTAGTCCAGCACTATCTCTGGGGCACTGTCCCAGTTTGGAATGCTGAGGAATTTTAGGGAGGAGCCTGAACTCCTTAAGCTTGGGAGTATCTGTGAGCTCTAGCTTGGTTTTGGATATGTTTTGTGTATTGTATTATGGGGGTCTTGCTGTTGGAACTGATCTCATCCTGACTGTGTTTTCAAACCAAAGCACCAGGCCTGGCTCAGCTCTTAGTTCTGTGGCTGCAAATCTTTGGACCCTGTAAAAAATGTTGAATTTAAAAATGTTTTCCTTTATTTTGGTGTTTATRTATTTTATCTTTTTACAGAGTTTTTGTGTTTGAGAAGTGAAAGTTTAATAAAGATTGGATTTATCACTCTGCTTCAAGTGGGGATTATGGGCTGCTCTATTTAAAGTGGTGATTGAATATTAAATGCAAAATTCAATTAATAATATTGGAATAATTATGTTAAAGACTTGGGAGGACTTTTCATAATATGATTTTTTTTTCCTTGCCTTTCCTAGTGCTATTCCTGAAGTTTTCACAAGAATTTGTTTTACTTCAATTATGAAAATAGCACCCAAATCATTCTCAGCTTAGGTAGTAGGCCTGGAATTTTGAATTTCCTCAGGCCATTCTCTGTGCATTACTAATTAGCAGAGAGAGCTGCAGCAGTTATCCAGGAGTATTTTTTGTCTGTTTTGGCTGGTTTTCTTTCTTTCAGTGTATTTACACACGAAAGCATCAATAACTATAAAGACTTAAGTTTTTGGTGGAGCTTATTCTATTGCTCTGAATAYTGAATCAAAGTAGCAGGTGAAGCCACACGTTTGTAGTAGGAAAAGGGGCTTGGGCAGAAATTATTCCATTATCCAGCTTTTAAAAAAAAATGATTGAAAACTTCATTTCTATGTGCCCAGAATCAGCAGCTCCAATCTATATCCAGCAAAGCCTCAAGGCAAAGGGATTCAAAGTCAAGGGACGGGGCTTCCAGTGCTGATTCGCAACTTCTACTCCAGATGTGTTTTGATCTCCAGCTGTTTGTTCCTGGGTTGTGGCTGAGGAATTGGCACTGCTCACGAATTATGATTTAGGGGGATACAGGGTTGTGCTTCAAAAGGAAAAGGAGGGAAAGAGAAAATAAGAAAGGAAAAATAAGATAAAGGAGGAAAAGAGGAAAAATGAAAAGAAGGACAAAGAAATGGAAAAGGGGGGGAAAGAGAAAAGAAGGGCATAAAGAAACGGGGAGAGAGAGAAGGAAAAGGAAAAAAGGGGGAAAGAAATAAAAAGGAAGAGAAGAAAGAGAGAAGAAGTAAAGGGAATTAGAAGGAAAGGCGCCCCCATTCCCGTTCCATGCCGGCGCTTCCCGCGCTCCCTTGAAGGCGCCGCCGGGGGCGGGGCAATGCCTGCGCGCGCAGGCGGGCGGGGTCACGTGAGGCGGCGGCGGGAACGCCCGAACGGCCGGAGCGGGGCCGCGGTGAGAGCGGGCCCGGAGCGGGGCCGGGCTGAGGCGGCTGGGACGGGCACGGGGCCGCGGTGAGAACGGGCCGGAGCATGGGCGGGCACGGGGCCGCTGTGTCCCTCGGTGCCTCTCGGGGCTCCCTCGGCGCCTCTCGGGGCTCCCCCGGCGCCTCCCCGGTGCGGGGAGCGGGCGAACGGGGCAGCTCCGCCCCGCGTCCCCGCCTGGCCTGGGCAGCGGCCGCGGGAGCCTGAGGGGCGTTGGGGAGGCGGGCGTGAGGGGCCTTGAACAAAGGGCTGGAGTTGGGCAAAATGAGGGGACGCGGCATGGGGAGCGCAAGGAATTCCAAATCGCCGGCGGGGGGCAGGTGGGAAGCACTGCTGGCAGGGCCCCCGGTAAAGTTGGAATCGTGGAATGTTTTGGGTTGGAAGGGACTTCAAAGCCCATCAAGTTCCACCCCCTGCCATGGGTAGGGGCACTTTTCACTGGACCARTTTGCTCCAAACCCCATCCARTCTGGCCTTGGACACTTCCAGGGATGGGGCAGCCACAGCTTCTCTGTGCCAAGGCCTCAGCACCCTCGCAGGGAAGAATTTCTTCCCAATATTCAATGTAGATTTYCTCTCCATCAGTTTTAATCCATTCCCCCTTATYCTGTCACKMTAATACCCAAAYTGTGTGTTACATCCCAARTGTGTGTGAATTCCCTTATATCCATCAATTTCCTGTGACAATTCCTGCTTCCCTGCTCAGCAATCCCGTTTGTACACATCCTCTGCAGGGTGTCCCAGCCCTTTTCAAGGTGTTTGTGGCAGTCCTGAGGGCAGACTCTGGGGCATAGCCCAGCCCAGCATCAGGGGCCACTCARAGCACTCTCCCAGCTTTAGTATCTCCATGATTCTGATTCACATGACCRCATAATTTCTTGCTGAGAGGGGACACTGAGATGTTTGGTTCCTTCCAGGGGGTGTCTGGGCTCTCGCTGCCATGGCCATGCAGATGCAGCTCGAGGGCAGCGTGGACACGTCAGCAGAGGAGGAGAGCTTTGGGCCACAGCTCATATCCAGGTTGGAGGTAAGTGAGGAGTTACCTTTGGAGGAGTCTTTCCATAGATCCACTGGTCTTTTTCCTAGAATGGAATCTTGTAAAGGTTTGGGTTGGAAGGAGCCTTAGAAGCCCATCCTGTTYCATCCCCTRCCATGGGMAGGGCACCTTTCACTATCCCAGCTTGCTCCAAGCCCYGTCCAACCTGACCTTGGACACTACCAAAGATGGGGCAGCCCCAGCTACTCCACCAAGGCCTCACCACCTCCACAGGAAAGAATTKCTTACTAATATCCAACCTRAACCTCTTTCTTTAAAAAGAAGGTGAATCTGAAAACTCTTGTTGCAAAATTCTTATTTGTGTTCTGTTAAAAAAATAAAACAGAAATACTAACACGTGTCCTTTTCCCTCTCTCCCAGCAATGTGGCATAAATGCCAATGATGTGAAGAAGCTGGAAGAAGCTGGATTTCACACCGTGGAGGCCGTGGCTTATGCACCAAAAAAAGAGCTGCTGAACATTAAAGGCATCAGTGAAGCCAAAGCTGACAAAATCCTGGTAAGGATGTTCTGGAACTTTAACTCAAGCTATTGCACAGGTTTATTTCTGCTGGCTGAAAGCATTGTGGTGAATTTGAAAGGTCTCCAAAGGGCAGTAAATGTGATTAGGAGTGTGACGTGACTTGTGATGGGAAAAGGCAAAATGCACCAGGGCAGGACTGAGCTGAATGGGTGGGGCACAAGGGGAAAATATTTCCATAAAACACACAAAAGAGATGTTGGAGCTTTTTTGTCAGAGCAGAATTTCAGTTCTGTTCAGAGGTACCAACTCGTGCAATGTCTATGAACTGTGCATGGAGTGCTACAGGCACCTCTCCACAAGGCAGGAAATACTAATTACTGGGGGGTTAACAAGGAGCCTGAAGTCTCCTGGCTCTGCTCAGTTGGGTTTTCCCTCAGGCTGAGGCAGCCAAACTGGTTCCCATGGGTTTCACCACGGCCACAGAATTCCACCAGCGACGGTCAGAGATCATCCAGATCACCACTGGCTCCAAAGAGCTGGATAAGCTGCTTCAAGGTCAGCATTTTATTTTTTCTCCTTCCAGCTTAACATCAGTTCTTGGGGTAAAGCTTTCCCATGAGTGTGATCCTTGCATGGAACTGCCCAAGGATAGTAAGTCCTGCTTGGATGAAAGACCTCCAGGATTGCTCTTGAATTGCTGTTTAAAAGCTGYAGAAATAGTTTTTAATMCTTTTAGTCATRATGCAAGACCCAGAGCTRTCCATTTTTGGATGTTTCTGGTTTATTTAAGTCTGTGCCATGTTTAGGGAAAACAAAACCAGGTATCACCATCTCCTCATTCCTGTGTTAATTAATCCAAAAATGAAAACAAGGAATTTCAGCTCTTCAGCATCTTCAAAAACACACCTGGACTTCTTATCCACAGCATGAACAAGCCTCAGGATGACAAGCAGTTTTCCCTCTTAGTCTTGAAACTTTCAGTCAAATTCAGTGTTTAACTGAGTCTCTATGAATGTTCTATTTTATATGTGGGATAGATACTTTGGTACACAGATACATAGTTACCTGTTTGTAACATGTGACCCTTTAATTTTTATTAATAATATTGTCATTTTYCCTTCAGGAGGAATAGAAACAGGGTCCATAACAGAGTTATTCGGGGAATTCCGTACTGGGAAGACGCAGCTGTGTCACACCCTGGCAGTCACCTGTCAGGTGGGTGGTTCTCCTCATTTTTATCCAATATTCAGACCCCACAGCCTTGGGATATTTGCTAATTTGGGCACTTTCCTTGTCTTTCTAAGTGCTTGTTACTGTCTAGAGATTGTTATGCTCTAAAATATTAGAGGATTTGACTTAATTTGATCATTTAGTTGACTCCCCTAGTTCACAGCTCAAAGCTGAGCATCTGTCATCTTGTGTAGAATGATGGAATCCTGGAATGGTTTGAGTGGGAAAGGACCTTAAAGTCCATCCCTGTTCCACAGGCAGGGAGATCTTCCACTATCCCAGCTTGCTCCAAGCCCCCTCCAGCCTGGCCTTGGACACTKCCAGGGATCCAGGAGCAGCCACAGCTTCTCTGGGCCATCCGTGCCAGGGTCTCAGCATCCTCACTGGGAAGAATTTTTTCCCAAATATCCCATTTATCCCTGTCTTGTGTCAGTGGGAATCCATTCCTCCTTGTCCTGCAACATCAGGGTGACAGGTACTACAAAAGGAAGGTGTCAGAGATTGGGACCAGGAATTTTTCCTCTCACTTTTCCCAGCTAAATGGGACTTTARTCACAATAACATGGGGTATTATTTATTGTATTACCTTGGTGAGGGCTTGGGGCAATAACTGCTGTATTTATGGATACTTTATTCCCTGTTCATTCCTTTCCTTCTCCTTTAGCTCCCCATGGACCGTGGGGGTGGTGAAGGAAAAGCCATGTACATCGACACAGAGGGGACCTTCCGTCCAGAGCGGCTCCTGGCAGTGGCTGAAAGGTCTGTGAGTGGAACACAGGAATAGATTGACTCACAGCTCAGTTGGAAAACGCTTTCCACAGGGCGTGGGGGCGGTGTGATTTGGCAGCTGTTCCCTCTGAAAACCTCTGGTGCTGCCATTCTTCTCCCATTTCTGCCATTCTGTCCCCACAGCTCTTGTGTCATTGTCCCTCAGCACAGGGTGATTTCCTTCTTTTGCTACTGGAAGGGACTGGGAACTTTCCAAGCAGCTGGGGACAGGACTGGCTGGATGCTGTTAGCTTTTTCTGAAGGGAATTTGTTCTAATCCTCCTGGATTCTCCTACAGCAAGGACAGCTCCCAAGTTCCCTGTCACCAGGGAATATTTGGCAGCCAAGTAAGGGACAGGAAGT